GCCCGGGGGGGGCCGGCGGGTGAGCGGGTCGCGGCGTCGGGCCAGCATGGCGGAGGCCTCCGACAAGCTGTATCGAGCGGAGTACGCCAAGAGCGGGCGCGCGTCTTGCAAGAAATGCAGCGAGAGCATCCCCAAGGACTCGCTCCGGATGGCCATCATGGTGCAGGTGCGGGCGCGGGGCAGGGCCGGGGTCGGCGCGCGGCGAGGCCGCTTGCTCGGCGGCGCTTAGTTAGCGTGTCCAGCAAGCCGGGGTAGGGGTGGGGGCAGGGGCGAGAGCGAGCGGGCCCAGGCTGGGTCTGGGTCGCTGCCGCCACCTCTCCCGGTGTGGCCCGCCCGGGGGTACCCTTCTGGGAGGTTTTGCTGATCTCGCAGGAAAAGCCCGGGAAATAAGAGTCTACAGCTGCGTGTGGTTTTCGCTTTGTAGGAACGATGAGCCGCTTCTCTCCGTTCTGGGGGGTGGAGTTCTTGCTTATTTTATTAACATTCACTTTAGGGGCTAAAAAAAAATGTATGCTGATCCTTTGAAGCTAGTCTGATTTTGGCCCATCTTGTTCGGGAAGATTTTTGTCCTACAAGGATGGTGGCGATTGGTATTTGAGGGTGGTGGTTTTATTTTTAATCTATTTTTGGCTATCATTTCAACATCCGCTTGCCCTCATTTTTTATTTTAATTATGCAGCATTATGCAGGGTGGTGTCATTTCTGTACACTGCATTCACTTTGGGCTTAATTTGTGGTTTAAAATATTCCTTCCAAACTTTCCAGCTTCACGTGGGTTCTCCTGGTGCATTAGCAGCTGTCTGGTTTGAGTAAGAATGTCTCCAGGAGGATCCTCAACTGGGCTCTTTGGTTGATTGGGGATCCCCTTTAGATGTCCCCTAGACTTCAGAAATGTATGGTGGGATATTGGGGTGTGCTGTGCTGTGCACCCTGCCAGTGCCTACTCCAGCTTCCAGTTTGCTGCAGTCTGCCTTTGTAATTGTGGTTTTCACCTGCCCGGTTCCTTCCCACTGCCACTTATACGTGTTTGCTGCCCAAGCTCTGTGCTCATGAGCAAGGTAACTTGATTTCCTACCCAGCCCTGGGCTGTGATGTGTTTTAGGAATGACGGATAACCCTCAGTGGGTGTTGAGTAGTTATGGGGTGGTAGTGGGAGCATTATTTAACCAGTGGGTACCAAGAGCTAGGTGTTCTTAGGCTATCTTGTTTGTCAATATGGCAGAGATTGGGGCCTACTTAGCACGCAGTACTTCTTCATTAGTAGGCATTTATTGAGCGCCAGTTGAGTTCCAGGCAGTATGTGAGGTACTGCAGACACAAAGAGAACCTGCCCTTGGGAGCTTCCAGCTTGGGTAGGGGTGGATGGGACCTGACTTAGCAGTGCGCTCAGCATTATGTGGGAGAGAGCCCAAGACGGCCTGCTAAGTGTGGGAGCTTAATGTGGAGTCCTTAATCACCAAAATAGGGCAGGAAGATGAGGCTAGAGAACTAGGGTTTAGGATGGAAACCTGTATCTCCCACCAAGGGTCTTTAAACTGTACCCTGAATGTATAGGGTGACCTGCTTTTGTGAAGTTCCCACTCCTACCTGGTGTTCCTCACCCCAGGTCCTTCGCCTGTGGTCTGTGGGATTGTGGCTAGAATTTCCATGCGAAAAAAATGTTCATCTCTGTCTACCTAACCTCTAGGTAAAAGTCCTTATTCTTTCCTATAATGAATATAAGCAGCAAAGTCGTATTAGCAGTACCTGTGATGTTGGACATCAGTGGTAATTACAGGTACTTTCTTATCACATATCAAAATATCATTCACACCCATCACTACAAAATGATGGTTGTTGATCGAGGGGGTATTAGGTCTTGTTATTTAATACTTTAAAGGGTTCAGATAACTGTACTCCAAATTACTTTCTAAATGTTTTGATAATTCAGTGTCAAACTCGTGGATTAGGGTACTCCCAAGTTACTTTTTTCGTGTTTGGTTATTACTTCAGTATAATCAGTTTCCTTTATGAGTCCATGTATTTTACTATACATTTTGGAATACTTTTCTGAGAAATTTCATAGTCCTCCCCAGATGCCCAAAGAGGGCCCTGTTCTAGTGAGAAAGAGACAGAAAACCCAAGTAACAGCCAAGTGCAGTGATCAACCCTGGTTAGGAAAGAGAATAGGTCAAGCCTGAAGGTGTTCTGGGAAGACTTGGCTGCAAACCTGAATCGGTAGGCATACTTAATATTGAAAGAAATTCTGTAGTATTAGAAGTGTTGTGTCTCTGTTATTGTAGTTGTGGGTAGATTGGAGTTTAAATTGAGAATTTAAAGTTGCTCTTACCACTGAACTGCTGAAGGCCAGAGAAAAAGAGGCCTTCCTTCTTCTTGCTTGAATTTAAATCCATCCCCTCTTTTACATTTGTATGGGAGGATTGTTCTGTGTCAAATAACCTGATGCTTTAGCTGTCCTGCCTTGGGAGCCTTCCAGACTGTGAGCTGAGAAGTAAGCCTTTGCTGGGCCCCAAACCAAAGGTCTTGAGCCTGGCCTGAGCAGCATGGCTACTGAGTGGAGGTGATAGTTTTGGGACGTTGGTCTGGTGCCAACTTTCCATTCTTAGTCCTGAGTTCTAGAGCAAAGCCCTGGCTTTGGTGAAGACTCCTTTTGCTTTGGGTGGGGCCCTCATGGTCCTCTAAGCTTGTGCTGTGTGTGTACCTTAGGTATCGCCTCGTGAGTGCCCGGCATTGCACTGGTGGTTGGGGACACAGCAGCCAGACCAAAGGATAATCAAGGAGTACCAAGAAGGAAGGGTCAGGTTGCGGCCACCGCGAATGCTTAGAGAGCTGCATTGGCTGCCTTGCTGAGATCTGGTGGAAAGTTGGAGGGCCAGAACCGTAGTCAACTCAGAAATCCCATTTGCTGTCTGGTTTGGGGGAACCATCTCTTGTTCCTTGTAGAAGGAGCATCTTTTCTACAACGAGAACTTACCCTCCCCCCATTACTCCTTTCTGACTTGGGGGCATTCCACAAATAATTTCTTTGTGTGCAAGAAAGGCATTGTGCCCTCATTGTGAGGTTCTAATCCAGTGTCAAACACAGGCATTCATCGAGTAATTGCTGATATGTAGTGTTCTTAACTGAGGGAGCTTGTGAGTGGGGCCGTGGGGGACCTGAAGAAGTGCTGTTGAACTTGAGCTCCGAGGAAACCAGGGAACAAGCGTTCCAGACGCGGGGAAAAGCTGATGCTACCACAGACCCAGCAGCCGTGATATGAGGAGTCAGTCCAAATGCCAGGGCCTTGACCGCTTTTATAGTTAATCCAGAAAGAGGCTGATCTCAGAGTGGGAGACAGCTAGGTGGGATACCTTGTCTCCGCTTTATTTTTAATATAGTCCTGTATATTTATTATAGTACATCTGCAAGGGCACTTAGCTTCCTGTTCTGTAAAAGCAGGTGCTTGGGGCCTCCCTTAACTCCCATCAGAATGCATTTGTATATTTTTAAGTAGCTCTTCCTGCCAGTGTGGTGGGATGAACTGCGGTGTCAGATTCAAACTCAGGCTGAGTCATTTACTGCCTGTGTGATGACCACCACCCACAATCACTTTCCTAGCACCCCCCTCATCTCCATCCGTGAAATGGGGGTGTTGGTTCCCTCCCAGAGGCAAGTCATGGGTTACCCAGGATGGCTCTGGAAGGGCACCAAGGACCAGTTAATGCCAGTGTCTTACTGCTATGCCAGCCACTGTCACTGTTCAGTTTATGAAGCCCGACGACCCAGAGCTGCCGAGTCAGTACCACCTGAGTGTGAAGCCTCACAGGCGGGAAAAACACGTAAGGGAGGAAGCCGTCTTCCCCTGGGCTGGACTCCCCAGATCCTGCAGGCCTGCCAGCTAACAGTCCTCTTGGGGCCCACTGCCCTCCTCACAGAAGTTAATTCACTCCTCTCATATCTGTGTGGCTGCTGGGCGCCTGGTACTTTTTTCTGACACATTTTCTCTGCTTGCTCATTATCTGGGTCTTGTTCCTTAACTGCAGAGGCACTTAACAAGCCCTTTGAATCCAGGCGTGACTGGGGGGCTGGTCTGGCCTTTCCCAGCAGAGGCAGCGTGGTGAGGTGGTGTGTGTGTGTCCTGTGTATGTCTCACTGGGCTGCGAGGCACAGCAGCGCTGAAACCAGGCAGCAAGGGTTAAAGAGACGTGGGCAGAGCTGGCTTTGGACCCTTGGCTGGCTTTGGAAACAGCAGGCAACTGTTTTCTAAGCAGTCCAGGAAGAGCTTAAAAAGAAATGGTTATGGGGACCAGCAGTTAGCATAATGGCTATGTTGCTGGACTCCCATGTAGTCGACCATGGTTCGAGTCCCAGACCCGGCGGCTTAAACTCACGCCGGGCGCGTGTGCGTGCATGCCCAAGATCCCGAGAGGAGAATGGAAGAGAAGGGATTGCAGCATGGCCATCCCCCCTGGAGGGTGATTTCTCGCTTTGTGTCTCTCTCTCTCTCTCTCTCTCTCTCGCTCTGTCTGGCAAGCGCATGCGCCCTATAGCGAAAAACTTCTCCAAAAAAATAAATTAATTAATAAAAATAAATGAATGAATAAATAAATAAAAAGAAATGCTTATGGGGCCAGCAGATGGTGTAGTGGTTACATCACTGGACTCTCACGTGGCTGATCATGGTTTGAGTCCTGGACCCGGTGGTTTCAAACTCAACTCTGGGTGCATGTGCGTGCGTGTCCAAGATCCTGGGAGGAGAATGGAGGAGAGGAGATTGCATCTGGGCCATCTCCCCCCCACCCCACCCCCGCCTGGGGGGGATTTCTATCTCCTGCACACACATGCCCTTGTAGCAAAAATCTTTCCAAATAAAAAAAAGGTTATAGGGAATGCTGGTTCTCATCTGTTTGCAACAGTCTCTGACCTTCCTTTTCAGATAAGAGAACAAGGGCTTACTCTGTTGCTGTGCAGCTGGGGTTGGGCTTGACTTAGGTCTCCAGGGTCTGAGAGGGCGGGTAATTGCTCACTTACCATCGTTTGATTCCCTTCCTTCTAGTCGCCCATGTTCGATGGAAAAGTCCCACACTGGTACCACTTCTCCTGCTTCTGGAAGGTGGGCCACTCCATCCGGCACCCTGATGTCGAGGTGGACGGTTTCTCTGAGCTTCGATGGGACGACCAGCAGAAAGTGAAAAAGACTGCAGAGGCTGGAGGAGTGACTGGTAGGTACAAACCAGGGAGGCAGTGGGTATTTTACCCCCTACTCTGAAGCTTCCTTTGGCTTCCTCTTTTTAGACAAAGGGCCCCAGCTGTCTCAGTCTTCCATGGGTCAAGAATGTGGCATGATGTTCCTTGGGCATCATGTCATGGACCCAGTGTTGTCTGTCCCATGATACTTCGTATCGTATTTTCCCAGATCCTTGAAATGGAGTCTTTGAATTTACTGCTCTATTTTTTTTTATTAGAGTTTGTTTTGCAGAGCAACTTTAGGTTCACAACAAAATTGAGCAAATTCCAGAGAGGTCCCACATACCCCTTCCACAGCACCCCCAGCCTCTCCTGGTGTCAACATCCCCCACAGGAGTTGAGTTGTGTGTTTGTTGTAGTTGTTGAGTACATCCACACATTATTCTTACCAGAAGTCCATAGGTTACATTAGATTCACTTTTTTTAACTTTTCTGATTTCTATATTTGATTTGTTTTATTTTTACATCAGACAGGTACAGTGCCGATGTCATAACAAGGTTTGAGGGGGGAGGCACGTCTCACCTAATGGTGTGAAAACCTACCCATGCTTATGAGCCAGAAAGGATCAGTACATATACCTTAGATATATGACTCCATGTAAGACCTTTTTTTATAAAATGTTTCCAATACCAGTATTTTTTTAAAAATAATTATTTTGTTTAACTTATTTATTTATTTTAATTTGACCAGAGAGAAATAGCAAGAGAGAAAGTGAGAAGGCAAGCCACTAGATCTGGGACTTGAACCATGATTGGCCATGTGGGAGTCCAGTACCCTTAACCACAAGCTACTTGCTGAACTCTCCAATACCAATACTTTTTTGGGGGGGAGAGGTTTTTGCTATAGGGCATGTGTGCTCTCCAGAGAGAGAGAGAGAGAAATAGAAAGCGAGAAATCACCCCCCGGGGGAATGGCTATGCTGTGATCCCTTCTCTTCCATTCTCCTCTCGGAATCTTGGGC